CGGCCTGAGGAGGTCAGAATGGAGCTGTCCTCCTCCTCTTCATCTGTCATGAGGAGCTCTGACGCTGCGTCGGAATCATCGCCTTCCTCTGCTCCGCTGAAGTCCATTGGGCTGTCCGCAAGGTGGCGGCCCAGGAGTTCGAGTGGGAGCGGGTCCACGAGATCCAGAGTTTCACCCCAGCTTGGTCCAGGTTGAGGTTTGGGGGCAAGCATGGCAGCTTGGTCCTCCGCACGCTGGTCAGTAGCTGTAGAAGCCAGTAACGGGTCACCGCGGAACAGAGTTACCTGATGAGCCAGACAGAGACGGAGCACCTTGAGGGAGAACCAGCTACAGTGAGCGCATTCTTCCGGAGACTCAAGGGCCGTTTGGGCATGTTTAAGACAGAGACACATCACACACCTTTGGTGAGTATCCCAGCTCGAAATTTTATTTCCACAAGGGCCTGCAGGTTTTCAGCCACCTTAGCGGCACCGCTCATGGTGTCCATGGCCCTCCTGGTGTTTAGCTTTGCAGCTAACGATACCGTTTAGACAGCTAACACTAGTCTAGGGTGGTTAGGTGGGGTAAGCGTTGCGGCTCTGCCCTGTGTAGGTGGTATCACTACCCTTCGAGTAATGCTACTCGGTAAAATGCTAACTGTTAAGTGCATTGCTACTCCTCACAGTCTGCAACTCAGACCACTGCTTGAAGGCAGGTTAGTGTGCGACTGTCTTTCGTATAAAACCGTAAGACCAGGACCAGCGCCCGGCGGTAGAGTTCAGACTCCTCCTTTGGGCAGTTTAGCTAGCTCCAGTCCGACAGTCAGCACACGAGAGGATTTTGGGAACTTCTGCTTGTAGCAAGAGGATGTTTTAGAATATTGTCAGTGAGGAGCCGGCCTAATCTATAGGTGGGGTTCCCACCTCCTATACGCTGACAGATTTGTTCCAGCCAATCAGGGCTGGCAGTGTGGAATAAGAGCTTCTGATGAGGTCACCCCTAGGCATTCCCATAGTGAGACACGAAACGAATGCTATGAAAGAGAACTTTTATAAAGGAGTGCTTCCTGGACTCAACCTACGCTGGTTTGAGGGGCTCTTTGGATGGGAAGATTCAGTCGAAAAACCAAGAGACACTCCAAGGCACTCTCAAATAGAAAAAGTTAAAAAGCCTTTATTGTGATGGCTAGGTCACATATGGCCTTTTTTTAAAAATTAAAACTCCCACGCATTTCGGCAACGTAGCCTTCGTCAGGGAGTCAAAAATAAAACATTTATGTATTAACATTTTGAGAAATGACAGCTCACAATGGGAAGGCTGGAAGGATTTACACATGTCTCCCTCTTTAAAGAATGAAGGACTCGGGCATTCATTGCAGCCATTAAGCAACTTCTGGCACAGTAGTTCTGGCTAGATGTGGGACCGCTCTTCTTAGCAAGATTTGATATAAATGGTTGGGGTTTCTGGCTTTTGTGTTCAATGGAACCGATGTCTGGGCTTTGGGAAAGCCATTCCAGAGGCTCAATGCTAGTCTGTTTCATCCAAACTGAAACCAGCTCTAATGTCACTGTCATGATGGAAAACTTTCAGTTCAAGTTTCAACCATCTAAATCAGTGGCGTCTAATCACAGTGCTCAAAGACCGCTATCCTGCATGGTCTATATGTTTTTTTTTTTACTGATCTGAATCAATATTATAGCAATATACCAAAACATACAGGATAGAGGTCATCAAGGACCAGAGCTGAAAGCCACTGATCTGATGACTCTGGGTGAATTTGGAGGTGAAGAAGTCTCACCTAAAACAGACATGTCTGGCAACATCTCCATCCATAAAGATACAACACTGGCTCCAACCCCGTCAAAATCAAGTAAAAATACATTCTACAACTTCCAGCAAGTGTTTACTTTGTTTTAATTTAAACCTCGTGATTTCAATTCTTGTTTTTAGAAAAAACAGAAGAAAAAAACCACCTCTTACCCTGGAAAGAAAAATAAAAGCCCAAATGTAATGCAACATTTTTACCTAAACTTCACATTGACAATAAAATAAAAGCAGGTGGTTCATGTGGTTTGCAGTAAAAGAAAACAGTCAAAGCAACTTCTTTTTTTTTTTACTTGCTTATTTGATAATGTTCCAAATTCTAATTTAGGGATTTAAATTTGCAACTGAACAGCAAATTGTTTGAATTGCTGCTGGCAGTGGAACCATAATTGGTGCACATTTCTGTTTGTGTTCAGTCTAATTGTTGCATTTTTGACATCCAGAATCATTTAATATATTTTGTTTGGAGTCATGTGATGCTGTTGTTCCACACTAAAATTAAGTCTGTTGAAAAATTAACCCTCTAATGAGTGCAGCTGTGAGGAAACACTTGTTTTGTGTCAATTCTCATCTGCACCAGCTTCATGTCCATCTGCATACAGGAGGAGACTCGCAGCAGGATGACACACAATCCAGCTGGAGACTGTTTACCATGTCCTTCAGTTAGCCATCTCTCTGCTGGAGGCCATTTATTTAAATGCATGCATATATGACAAATTTTAAAAGGTCTTTTGCAATAGCTGCTAGGTCTCAGAAATGATCTTCCAGTAAAAATATAACAAAAGCTTAGCCACTGACTTATTTTATTCCATCATAATAAAAGTGGTTTGATCTTTCTTAAACATCCAGCACAGTGAGGCGTTGCAAGATCAAAGCTACCAACTTTCCCAAGGCTGTTTCATCATTTGTACTGGAGGAGTTAATGATACAAATTGCTGCCTGAAATATTTTTCAAGTAAGTCCTTAGAAGAAGCAAACAGTCATTGGGTTGAATGATCACCCACTGGGTCTGAGGTTAACACAAGAGTTGTCATAGAAACGGATAACGCACAGCTTCCTTGAAATGACCTTTGGAGCAAAAAAACAGGCCCTCCAGGGCCAAGCTACCGATATTTGTGTGTTTTATAAACTCTTCTCAGAGTGTATATAGAAAAAAATTATTTTTCGCATCTTCTACTAAAAATGAAGGGAATGTTGAACACACGCATGTCTTGTAGCGGTGGCTTAAAATTCCGTTTAATTAGAGCTGGTAGAGCGAGGGCAAAACACATGGATGTACGACAAGTGTCAAAACACTTCATTCTTTTCAAAGACACTGTGTAGTTTTTATCAGTCGTACGTCCTCCCTGCTCAGACATCAGAGCTTCCATGACAGCTCTTCTCTGCTTTTATAGCAGCACTATCTGTCCATGTTTTGTTGTCTACTTGTGTTTTCAAAGTAATGTCTCTTATATATAATATTTGTATCTTAAATGGGTTCATATAGTGTGTATATTGGCTTGAGTACAGTATATAAAAGTAATGTCAGTTTAACAACTTAAACCCTAATACATTTTAATCACCACTAAGCAACACTACCCTGCCACCTACCGTTTTTTAGGGCTGTAGCGACGCCTCGATGACGTCGACGGCTCGATTCTAAAAATTTGTCGACGTCAGATCCGGTAGTCGACGCACCGCGCCCATTTGTTGCATCCACATGAGTTTGTAAATAGAAGAGGAATCTGCATGTTTTTCCTCCTCTAGTTCGCCCTCCACCTTCACTAACATCTCCGCCAAATACCGAAGACCCGGAATAATGTCCGTCCGCTACCAGATTCCTTTCCTGTTTTGCCCGCCTTCGTCTCCCGGCAACGGACAACAACTTCCGGGGTCAGATAGGCTGCTCCGTCTCTACCGCAGATGTAGAACATCACCGGGAGCATTTCTCCCTTCATAAAGGAGCTTCTTTCAGACATGAGGAGAGCTGTTTTAGTGGTAGCAGTCTCTCCTCCGTGCTGGTCTGTTTGCTGCTGGGTGTTTTTGGTTTATTTAAACTTGGTAACTTGAACTTAACGTTGGTAAAGCTACTGTTAGCATTTTCGCTAACAGCTTCTTGCATTGGGATAAGCTGTTATGTTTTGGTTTAGAGTTCATCTTTTTTGTGGTGCAGATTTCCCTTTTATTACATTTAGAGTGTTGTGGGTTTTTGGTTTCGTTTAAGATATCACCTTCAGCTTGGTTTAACCACCCAGTTTAGAGTTGGACCTTTGGAGATTATTTTGGTCCAGAACCCAGTAATCTTTGCCCAGTGGGACATCCCTACTTATTTGTACTTTTGTTTTAATTCCCCACAGGCAGAATTAGTTTTATTATTCCCAACCTGTGGATGGAAAGATTTATGTTTTTTTGTAGTTGTAAATAAACCTGATCATCATTTTAACTTTTAAATCCCGTTATTGTCCCTTCCTTTTTGCACACGAGCCAAACTCCCCAGGAAGGGTCGTAACACCACTCGCCTCACGCACATTACTGACCAAAACAAGCAGCATGGAGACTCTCCATCTCCAGCCACCTCTCAGGCAGCAGTCTGCACTCCCAAGTTCTACACGTCACCAGAACATAACCAACCGCAACACAATAAAAGCAGTGTTTTACAAAATAGAAGGCCTGTAGTGTTTATTCTCTTACAGTAACAATTTATCAATTTTTTTGAGGAATTTATTAGAGCTTTTTGGTTTTTATTAACTGTGCAATAGAAAAATAATCATTGGATTAATTGTCTAAATAGTCATTAGAATAGTCGACTATTGGATAAAATAATTGTCAGAATAATCGTTTTAAAAATAATCGTTTACCCCCAGCCCTACCGTTTTTAAAAGGTGAACTCTGGAAAGTGGTTTCCAAACTGAGAAGTGATCATTACAAAATACATGATACTTACCACAAGGTTCTTCCACCTTGTCAATATGTAGTCCAAGCTCTTTTCAAGCACGTTCAATGTAAGTTTTTAGTATTTTTCAGCACCTCACAGAGATGATTTCACTTCCTTGTCTCATAAAAGTAAATGTCATTGTGCTTAAGCTGATTTCAGCGAAAGTATAAAGCACTTTCACTGAAAAGTGCTTTATACTATTATAAAAAACATTTCAATCACAAGAACTTTAAGAGCAAAACAGTTGTGTTTATGAATTGCTTCCATAACTGAGCAGCCTCACCTGGTAGAAGTTTTGGAATCCTTCGTCAGTGAGTGTGATTGAGATGGAGAAGATGGAATAGGTGGTGTTTTGGTCAAAGCCTGTCTCACTGTTTCCTCCATACAAAGCCAGAGCCCAACACCTGCAGACAAACACAGAAGTGAAGGAACACATCAGGCACAGATTCACTCCATCCTGTAAATTGCCAACAGTCATCAAACTAGGTGTTGAAATAAGTGCTGGGTGTTGAGTAGAAGAAATATCGCTTTGCAATATCCTGGTTGCACAAAAACAAACAACCCTTTTTCAGTTCCCTTCGGAGCCCTGAGAAGAGTTTCAAAAACACCTAAAAAATTAAAGCAACTGATGTATCATGTAGGGCTGAAACGATTCCTCGAGTACCTCAAATAATTTGAGTACACAAAATCCTCGAGTCAAATTATCTGCCTTGAGGCTTCGTTTAATTCATGTTTAATTCATGGCTTTGCAATCACCCGGGGTCAAGTTTCACCCAGACCGAAATAAGTGACGCACATACATACTGCACTGAATGCGCACATGAGTAGCGAATGTAACTTAACTTTCTCTTAAGCCATGGCGGACAACGTGGACCCCGGTGGAGTGCGAAAAAGACAGAAAATGTCAAAAGTGTGGGACAATTTTTCACTTTGTGAGGCGTTTACACATGTAAATGTCACTTCTGCAAGCAGACTCGGAGGTGTGCTATATATTCTGCGGATACTGTGTGACTTTTCGTTTGCAGCACTCAGTTTTAGCTCACATTGTGCATCTGGTAGCAATGCGTCGGACCTAAAAATGTGCTCAAAATAGCAGTTTTTACACAACACATCTGACTTTTTATTGTGTTGTTATTGACGTCTGTTGTCCCTCGAGATTGCTGCAGGAGGACAGGTATTTATGAGTGGTGGAGGAAAATGAAAGAAAGTAAATAAATGTTCTGTAATCAGTATAACTTGACATAATCACGGCAAACATGCTTTTTCGACAATCCTTGTTATTGTGTGTGAAAAAAAAAGTGTAGAAATTAAAACGAACGTGTGTTAATAGGGAAATAGCTGGCGAGCCATGTTTGCGCATGCGCCGTGAGTGGTTCTGGTGCTGTTTCGGCCGCAGCCGCTCGCATTTGTTTACTGTGAAGTAAATTTGAAGTGCTGAAGTTTTGAAAACTAATTTTGAATAAATAGTGCTTCACTCCTTGGGCCCCACAGTTTCTCCAGCAACTGGAGGAGTTGGAGTAATGTTTACTTTGCTCAGGAGTAATAAAAAATCTGCAAAGGCTCTTCCAGCCAAAACACCTCCATGGTCGAGCTACAGATGTTCCATTGTAAAGCACATTGTTGATACCAAGTATCGTTTGAAATTGCCATATTTGTTTCCCTTTCCCATTTTAGTTTGATGTAGATTGTAGTCAAATTCTTAAACTCCTGTAGACCCTTATACAGTCTTGAAATTACTTGGGGACCAGGATCCGCTTGGTATGCCCTCACAAATATTTTTGGAACAGAAAGATCGAAAAGATCTTTTCTCTTGGGTATAGAATTCTGTAAAGGACGTCTGATTTGGAGGAACCGGAAAAAAAACATCCTACTCAGCTGATCATAGTCTTTTATTGACTGGAAGTCTTTAAGATTTCCCGTATCGTAAAAATTACAGTATACTGTTAAGCCTTGTCCTGCCCAATTTTTAAATCTCGTATTAACTTGTTCGGTAAAAAATCAAGATCATAAGCACACCATCTTAAGATCCTGGCCTCTTCATTATTCTTGTTTATAAATTGTAACCAAAGTTTTAATGACAGGTTAATCCATCGGTTTTCTTCTTCAATTAATTTTTTTAAGAAGTGTCATATCCCCCAAACTAGCTTGAATTGGAAAATCTCTTGAAACGGCTATCTCTATTTCTTTTCATCTTGCTTGGTAGTCATAATTACACAGTTTATTCGATTTATGTAACAAAAAAACTACTTGTAGCCACTTGAAACTTGAATAATCACTAAAGAAAAAAGAGATAAATGCACAGAAGGAGAAATTTTAGGTAAAGAAACAACAGAATTTACCTCAAAAACATCCAAAAGAACGTTGAACTGTATGTTAAAATTCGCTTCTATTGATTTTCCTTTTTAAACTGCCTGATAATAAAAGCTGCAGAAGCACTTATGCTGCCGTTACAGACAGTGGTAACGGGAACTATTTCATAGTTTTACAGAACATCTGTCCAATTTTAAGCCATCCTCCCGCTCACCGATGTTTTCTAAAATCAACACAAACAGCCACTTTTCTGCCTGTGAATTTTTTCCATCCATTACCAATTGAGACCGAGTACGCTCAAATTTCCCTGACACCACTTATCAACAAGTGAATTCAGCGTGCAGGACAAACAGGAATATTTTATCAACGAGGTATCAAAGTGGTGTAGATGCTAAGGGGAGTTTTAGATGGGCTCTTGGTATTGTGGGTCTACGCGAGGTTTGGCAAATCACTCTGCCACTTAGCAACGAGAGGCTGAAACGCTCTCGTACAGCCACATTCAAAGATGAAAATGTATGAATCACATTGTCAAGTGCGATGGCAAATCGTATAGTTTAAAGATGAGGGCTCAGACGCTCGGGGCTCACTCAGAGCAAGAAGAAGCTCCTATATACCCGGTTAAATTGAGGAGATTTTAATTGCAGTTTGGAGAGCCCTCGAATCATAAAAACAAACAGACAGAAGCAATAGCACTCACTTCTTCCTCAGAACCGACAGTATGCTCCCTGTACCTTCATGGCCAACCAGCCACGAGATGTAGTGGAGAGGCTTCACCCTGAAAGAGCACAGAATGGTAAAATTAGACACAAAAAAACAATCTGATGTAATCGGTCTACAATCAGAGCAATGCATGACATGTTTGTGAAGGTCTAATTCTATGTTTACATGAAGAGGCCCCGCTCTGCAGGAAGGATGACAAAAAAAGAAGCACATTTGATGCAATTTCTCTGAAAACAGGTGAAAATGTTGTCAGTCGTGACCCTTCTTCATTCATGCGCCTCATAAACATACACAGGTAATGGGTGTATGGCTCACCTGTAGTGTTTCTCCTGAGGGGGAAGAGCCCAGGTGATGTTCAAAGCTTGAACTTTCCCAACAGGAACAACTACAAAAAAAAAAAAAAAAAAAAGGTCGGAATAAGGACTGCTCGAATGAGCAGTTTGGATTAAATCACACATTATCTCTAAAATCAACCATCAGCTTGTTTGAATGACCTCACAACCCAACATAATTACAACTGGTGTGTCCCGGAAGAGGAGTGGATCAGTACCTCTGTAGAGCTTGCAGAATGCTGGTGTGTCAAAAGGATCCAGTAGATCAGAGAACTCAGGCTTGGGCAGATCACTGTAAACACAAACAACAAAGATTTTTTAAGGAATTTACGAGAAATCCATCATCAGAGCTGAACGATTGACATTCCAGTGCACATGTGTGTGATAGTAACATAGCAAGTACTGCTGGGATGTCAGAGGCAAACAAACTTAATCTAATGTTAAGGGTACCTAAACAGTAAATGCATGCAGAGATCCACCAATCACAATTGTTCTTAAGCAGTTTGCATTGGCAGATCCCAATGGCTTTTTGATGCATCAATGCACCAGAACTACATGATGCACACGTTAGAACAGGCAGAGACCGCTGACCCATAGGCCAATAGTTGCAGTCATTTCCTCAGCAGAGGTGGCAACTATTCACCTACTGGATCAATAAGGTGTTGATCAATTGCTTACATCAGAGTTGGTGCTGTGAAGGTCTGAAGCCAACATAAAGATGCTAACAAATGTTATGATGAAAACTTTGCAAGCAAGATATTTTGAAGGTTTTCAGTGGGTATTATCAGGGGTGGACTAGGACCAAAATTCGACCCTGGCATTTTTACGAATCATCGGCCTTCCCCATTGGAAGAGCGGTGGGGGTGGGGAGTGTTGCCGCCCGCGGACTCGTCTCTAGGCTGACTGTGAGATCTAATATGGACTGGGACTGTTAAATTACAAGCAGGGCCAGACCGTTGCGACCGGGAGCCCTGTCCTTACAGATCAGCTGGACACAGACTGAGATCAGCGGGACATTAGCTACATGCAAATGCGCTAAAACAACTCCTGCGTCATTGCTCTACCGCATTTTTCTTGCTAAAAACTCCTGGAAAAATTCTGTTAGCTTCGAGTTACTATGTAGTTAATGTTCTGCATATCACCAACTGTGGAGTAGTGTCGGCCCACGCTGGGCAAGCAGCCCAACGGGACAGTGCCAGAATTCCAGACAGGCCAGTCCACCCCTGGGTATTATGTTGAATTGTGGACTTAAGACTTGTACACAGTAATTGGATGCTTGTGGAAGTAATGAGATGGCTCTGTTCTATCAGATGAGGTTTCATATGGTGAGTTGGACTTTATTTAGAATTTAGGAGTGGATTAATAAGTGTTTACAGTGTCTAAAGTTATGATTTTTATCATGTTGCAAAAAACACTGCTTTTACACAGAAGAACGCAATTTACTGCCCGTGGTACACAAAACCCCATTATGGTTGATTAACAAGTCAACAAGATGGCCGAAGTTCAGCATAACTTAAAGTGCTGTTCAAGTCATCTGTTGAAATTCCTGGATTTTTTATATCACAATATTTATCCCAGGTTAGAAGGAATCACAAAAACAGACATGGAAAAATTTGGTGGTACTCTTTGGTCATTAAAGAAAAACACAAAATGGCCACAAATGTAATCTGACAAAAGTAAAAATAAATTAAAATTCTATGAAATTTAACAAATAAGAGACAGCCATTGGTTTTCAACAAAAAAATAAACTCATGGAACAGGCCTGGACAAAAATGATGGTACCTCTAACTTAATATTTTGTTGCCTTTTGAGGCAATCAAACAATTCCTGTAACTGTCACTGAGACTTCTGCACCTCCCAGCAAGTATTTTGGCCCACTCCTCATGAGCAAGCTGCTCTAGTTGTCTCAGGTTTGAAGGGGACATTTTCAGCTCCTTCCAAATATGCTCAATAGGATTTAGGTCAGGGCTCATAGAAGGCCACATTAGTACAGCCCAATGTTCACCTCTTAGCCAGCCGTGGGTGTTTTTAGCTGTGTTTTGGGTCATTGTTCCGTTCCAAGACCCATGACCTGGCCAGAACATTTCTCTTTAGAATCCCATGAAAGTCTTGAGATTTCATTGAACTCTGCACAGATTCAAGACACCCTGTGTTAGATGCAGCTCTACAACAGAGCCTCCTCTGTGTTTCACAGTAGGGACAGTGTTCTTTTCTTGATATGCTACATTTTTCCAAACATAGAGCTGATGTGCCTTGGCAAAAATTTTCCAAGCTTTGTAGTTTGTCAACATGTAGTTTTGCAAAAAATCAGAGGTTTAAGATCATATAGTTTGGCATATTCCAGTCTGACATTTTATGATTTGTTTGCAACAATGGTGTTCACCTTAGTCATATTCCATGAAGTCCACTTTGGCTCAAGCAATGACGAAAGGAGCAATCTGACACTGATGTTCCTTGAGTTTGAAGTTCACCTTGGATTCGGTTAGTTTTCCTGGGCTCTTACCATTCAGATTATCAATTTCTTTGATTTGTCATCAATTTTCCTCCTGCGGCCACGTACAGGGAGTTTGGCTACAGTTCCATTGATCTGAAATTTCTAAACGTGCAGCTCTAGTCAGAGGAACATCTAGGTGCTTGGAGATGTTCTTATAGCCTTTACCTTTAACATGCTTGTCTATAATGTTCTTTCTAATCTCCTGAGAAACTATTTCCTCCACTTCCTCTGGTCTATGTTGAGTGTGGTACACACCATATGACCAAACAATAGTGACTACCTGAAGCCCTATATAAAGGCCCACTGACTGATTACAAGATTGTAGACATCTAATTATTGGACACACCTTGAATTAACATGTCCCTTTGGTCACATTACTTTCAGTCTATCTAAGGGTACCATCATTTTTGTCCAGGCATGTTAATGAGTTAATTTATTTTTGTAAATATTTCCGGTGAAGCATGATTGAAAAGTAATGTCGGACTTTCATTTCATAGAATTTTTACTTATTATTACTTTTGTCTCCCTGGGCTGCCACCTTACCGTGGTGGAGGGGTTTGAGTGTCCCAATGATACTAGGAGCCAAGTTGCCTGAGGCTTTATGCCTCTGGTAGGGTCACCCATGGCAAACGGGTCCTAGGTAAGGGATCAGACAAAGAGAAGCCCGAAGACCTCTTATGATGAATTATATAAATGGAAACCGTGTTCCCTCGCCCAGACGTGGGTCACCAGGGCCCCCCTCTGGAGCCAGGCCTGGAGGTGGGGCACGTTGGTGAGCGCCTGGTGGCCGGGCTTTCACCCATGGAGCCCGGCTGGGCACAGCCGGAAGAGGAAACGTGGGTCCCCCTTCCCATGGGCTCACCACTCGTGGGAGGGGCCAAAGGGGTCAGGTGCAGTGTGTGACCGGTGGTAGTCGAGGGCGGGGGACCTTGGCGGTCTGATCCTCGGCTACAGAAGCTGGCTCTCGGCACATGAAATGTCACCTCTCTGGTGTGAAAGGAGCCTGAGTTGGTGTGTGACGTTGAGAGGATCCGACTAGATATAGTCGGACTCGCCTCAATGCATGGCTCTGGCTCTGGAACCAGTTTCCTTGAGAGGGGTTGGACTTTCTACCACTCTGGAGTTGCTCCCACTGAGAGGCGCCGAGCAGGGTTGGGCATACTAGTTGCCCCCATCTTGGTGCCTGTACGTTGGGGTTTACCCTGGTGAATGAGAGGGTAGCCTCCCTCCGCCTACATGCGGGGGGACGGGTTCTGATTGTGGTCTGTGCTTATGCACCAAACCAGAACGCGCAGCAAATTAATTAAATAATTTGGTTGTGTACCTTTCTCTTCAGCACAGCCAACAAAGGTTTATGATGGGTCAGTCCTCCTGCATGCTCAGATCATTCCATTCCCTTGCTTGAAAAATTGTTCCAAAATGAAATTTGAACCCACATCTTTTTTATCTGTGAATTCAATGCCATTTGGCGAGTCTCAAATAAAAATTTGGGCATCTTACTGTAAAAAAAAATACACCATTAATGTAAAAAAGAAACTCTAAATAAACTATGTTCACATCCAGAATCGAACCCAGGTCTTCTGCATGAAAGTCAGACATCTTACAAGGTGAGCTACACACCAGTAACATTCATAGTATCTGTAACTTTTATATCCTTGATAACACCTGAAACGACGTCAAACCAAAGAATGGTTCGGAGCGAAAATGGCTATTTTGCTGCTAATTTGCAGGAAATATCTAGAAGAAAGTTCTACAGAAAGTAGCTAAGGGTCCTCAGAAATGTAGCTAGGTTCGTCACTAGGCGTTAGGAACAGCGACAAAGTCGCTGAGTTGGCACTACCTCTCTCTCTGCTGCTAAAGCTACTGATAGCAAATGCTACGGGCTATGCGTGAACGCGCATGAAACAGCCTGCTCGACCCGAGCAGCTCTCTTTTTCTGTGATTTTACAGAAAAACAGGCAATCACAGTAAAAATGCCAGGGCTCATTCTACAGGACCAGTGCATTGCAGGAGAATGTATGAAGAAGAAATTTATTATTTCTATTCATGTTTTGGCTGTCAAACTTCCATAACGTCCCTTTAATCATTTTTCCGAAGACCTTTCACTCCTCTTCCAAGCAGCTTGGACAGAGATCGGTGATTTAAAAATGAATCACAAAAAGCCCATCTTTGTCAAAAGAGAAAACCCAATATTAAACATAGAGGGACGTTTCAGGGCATTTCACACCCTTCAGAATGTGATCTAAACATCCTGTGTGAGGACCAGAGCATCAAAGACCCAAATGACCCCCTAGAGGGAGCATCAAAGGGGTGATTTGTAAACTGGCATGCATTAATGAAGCTCTGACTATTTTAAAAGCTTGGTACTCTAAACATTTCTGTTTGAATTCAGAAAGATCTTCAGATGTGAAGAGAAATATCTTCAAGTAAGTAAAGGACTCTCTAATGCCCCCAGACATCTTACCCTCATCTTTGTTTAAAAATGCTTTTCAGTCCATCGGTCCCAGTGTGCTCTCTATAATTAATGCTTCTCTGGTTTCCGGTCAGGTCCCTGCTTACTTTAAGGATGCGGTAATCCACCCACTCCTTTAAAAAATGAGTCTTGACCCTTCTCTCCATAGCAGCTTCAGACCCATCTCTAAACTTCAGTTAATCTCCAAGATCTTGGAAAAGGTTGTGGCTAAACAACTCACAGCAGCTCGATGAACATAACATGTATGATAGCTTCCAGTCAGGTTTTCGTGGAGCTCATTCTACTGAAACAGCTCTTCTTAGGGTCTCTAATGACCTTCTGACTCACAGTGATGCAGGGGACTGTTCTGTTCTGGTCCTGCTGGACCTGACTGCAGCCTTTGACACTGCTGAGCATCACCTGCTACTGGAGAGGCTGAGAGACTGGGTAGGCCTATCAGGATCTGCTCTGGAGTGGTTCTCCTCTTATCTTTCTGAGCGTTCCTTTTCTGTGGTCATCTCCAAATTTAGGTCCTCCACCACCTCCCTCACCCATGGTGTCCCACAAGGTTCTGTGCTGGGGCCTCTGCTCTTCCTCCTCTATCTGCTTCCTCTTCAGCACATCCTGAGCTCCTTCAAAGGAAGCTCCTACTAGGGCTGGGTGAGATCGAAATTTTTAAAATATCGGTACAATTTTGAAACAAGATATAAGATGACTTTATATCTTCATATCGATATAACTGGCCAAACTGCTATGCTAGCGATTAGCTGCTATGCTAGCGACATGATGCTCCGTCTTTAAGCGGCTATTACATGTATTCTCACAAGTTTGCTCATTCTGAGAGCCTCTGGGTAAATGTGCTGCTCTAAACTTTGCATTTGGCATTCTGTTTTTTAATTATTTGGGGACGTTTAATGCCACGGAGTTCTGTTTTTCCATCCTGCTTGTGCGGAGAGACAAGCCAAACCTCTCCCTCTCCTGTGTAATGAGGAAACAGCTACGGAATGCCGGAGTGGCCAAATGACCTCAAACATATTGTAAGGGTTTGAATAGTAAACTATAGGGTTACAGTTTATTTTGAAGGCGAGGTCAACAGGTGAGAAATGTTGTTCCAGTTTTTCCGCTCTCGTTTGCTATGCTAGTAAATACTCCATTACGAGCGATTTCGTTGAAAAAGTGAAGAGTTTGTAAGGCGCTGGTTGCGGCGACAGTAGCCCAAAAATAATACTGATAAAAAAGCAACCAGAGACTCTGAGTCATTACAGTATAATCGCTGATATGAGCCAATACTGTTAGACTCCAGCCATGTTTGCCCTAATAACTAATAACGCCACAGTGCATGACCCATGTGATCTTCAGTAGATGCAATTACATCATCATACATTTAGCTTAACATGATATTTATTTTCTCTGGACAAGAAATTTAAATAATTTTACATTAATTATAAATATATAATTAAAAAGTGCCTGTGGGACATATCATACACCCTGGCTCCCAACTGTGTGTGTGTGTGTGTGTGTGTGTGTGTGTGTGTGTGTGTGTGTGTGTGTGTGTGTGTGTGTGTGTGTGTGTGTGTGTTAGCAGAAAGCTGTACCAGTACTTCTAAAGCTCAGACTGGTAGAGAATAGGCACTAAGGTTAAAGTTTGACAAGAATCAATACATTTCTATGCATTTAATCTACTGATTTGTTTATATAATTTCTCAAGATAGCTTGAAGTGAGTTAACTTGTTAACAATTTGCAGGAGGAAAAATATCGAGATATACATCGTATATCGAAATTCAGCAAAAAGATAGATAAAAGTTTTGGTCCATATCGCTCAGCCCCATCTCCTACCATCTTGACGCAGATGACATCCAACTGTACATCTCCTTTAAGCCCTAATGAGATGTCTAAGCTGCAGCTGTTACACACCTTCTTAGACTCTATCAAAACCTGGTTGGCTGGGAACTTTCTACAGCTGACTGAAGATAAGACTGAGATCCTCACCTGTGCTCCAGACAAGCTGTTTCCCAAAGTCAGAGACTCTTTGGTCAGCTTGCTTCCCACACCAAACACTCTGGAATCTTGGTGTGACCTTTGACCCAGCTCTCACCCTGGATTCTCATGTCAGTTCTCTTGTTGCTCTTCCTTCTTCCATCTCAGGAACATTGCTAAGCTGAGTCCCATTCTGTCCCGCTCTGAACTTGAGACAGTTCTCCACACCTTCATCTCCTCACGCTTAGACTACTGTAACTCTCTTTTCACGTGTCTGAGCAGAACCTCCCTGAACCGTCTACAGGTGGTTCAGAATGCCTGTGCTCGGCTTCTGACCAAGTCCTCCAAACACACCCACACCACCCCGCTTCTCCTCCAGCTTCACTGGCTGCCAGTCAACTTCAGGGTTCATTTCAAGATCCTGGTTCTGGTCTATAGGGCCTTACATGGACAAGTACCATCTTACACTGGTGATCTTCTTAGTCCCTACACCCCCAGCAGGTCCCTGAGTTCCAGTGACCAAAGCCTACTGGTTGTGCAGCACCAGGCTAAAGACCAAAGGTGACAGATCATCTGCTGCTGTGGCCCCCAGACTCTGGAACTCTCTTCTCCTGAGCCTGAGATCAGTGGACTCAGTGGTCTCTTTAAAAAAGCAGCTGAAGACTCACATGTTCAAGCTGGCTTTTGTATGACCTTCTTCACCCTCTCCTTGATCTGTTCTCCCTACCTATTCCACCTTCCTCAGGATCCACTGATTTCCCTCTTTCCTATTCACTCTCTCTCTTTATTAAGATTTTAATCACAATTGTCTATTTTTTGCTCATTTTAAATATATTTTTAATCATTTTCTAAATTCTTTTTTATATTTAACATTTTTTGTTTTTGTGAAGCGCCTCGTGATTTTTATCTTGAGAGGTGCTAAAGAAAAGATCTTTTCTTCTTCTTCTGGGCCATCGTATCTCCCGATCTAATTCCCATCTCCCAGATTACTCTGAAGTTCCAACAATGGAAACACGCCTATAATGACCTGAACAAGCGGAATCCTTCCAACAGGACAAACACAGAGATGCTTAGCCTTTCTGCTGTCAGCAATAACCAAAACAGTTGACATTAAATCCTTATGTCACCTTATTTAAATACACAATTCTTCCTCTAAGTAACTACATGAAAGACTACATTATTTCGAGAAAATAAATGTTATTTTGGTGTAAATCCACTGATGTGTTTCTAAAGAGTTAAAGAGTCAGAGAACATTATTTTCTTTGACAGGGATTACTCCAAAATGTTTTCATTTATTCAAGCTTGATGGAAATGAGTTTAGCTCAGCCAGAGGAGCTGAATTCACTTGAAAGGATTTTATGAGCAGAGAAGAAGAGAAAAAAAATCTAATTAGCCCAACAGAGAAACATGTCATCGTTTAACTGAAATGAAAGCCTTGGTTGTGTGGCTTTCTTGTAACCATGACATGCATGTTTACTCCTTAAAAGTAGCCCAGTGACTCAATGAGCAGAGAAAACACAGCCATTCAGCTCCAATGAATTGATCCATTTTAGGATTATTCTGATTAAATAAAATAATGTTTTGAGTTAAAGAGCAGAGAAAGAGACAGGAGAAGGTTTGAAGGTCCGTAATGGACCAAAGGATATCCAGACTCAATCAGTGAAACGATAGCTCCTCTTCAGAGTGACTGAGAGGCTCTTCTCTCATACTCACTTGTTAGGCACCTTGCTGAAGATCTCCTTCACCCACTCCTCTAGAGTGTCCAGCTTCTCTAAGACACGCACCAAGTAAAAGAGATCAAATATGAATATAAGTGCAGCCTAATCAGTTCAAACCTAAAACTCACACCTCTGGAGTAAATCTAGAAAAATACAAATTTGTATTTATTCTATTCTAATTCTACTTTAAATAAATAAAAAGAGAAAGTCCCCAAATATTTTACAACCAGAAGATTTTTGTACAGTTTTGTGTCAACATTCTGACAAAGAGACAACTATCAGCTTTGTTTAATAAAAACAACATGACATTTAACTCTGCTGCAAAAACACCAAACACATTTTTCTTTTACATAAGCAGCAAAAGCCATATTCTACAATAGTCAAGGTTTAATTTTTTAGAAATGGATTTGAGAATCAAACATGCATTTATCTTTAAAACTCAAGAGGAAAAACCCAAAGGTAGAAAAAGTGACCATTGTACTATTTTTCTGTCACATGGGGTCCCTCAAGGTTCTGTACTGGGCCCAATATTGACTAGTCATAGATTTTATGAACATCTCTTATATTTATGCAAACAACACTAAAATGTACTTCATTCTGTTTTACTGCTGGTCAGACACAAGGAAATTAGAGTTTTTAAAAGGGCATACTAGGGCCACTATCGAAAAATAAATACGCTTAGTTAGCCCTGGGAGGAGAAAAAGACAGAGGATTAATATTAAACATTTATGTAGGAAAATTATGATATTTTCTGATTCTTTGAGAAATTAAGTAATATCTAAAATTAAACTGATGTAAAAAAATTAATACACGTGAAGATTTTTGTGAAGATTTTTTGTCTTAAATTTACTGAAGAAATCCTTGATGAACATTTAAACATAAATATGAAAAAATGGCTAATTTATTAGAGTTTAAAGCAGTAAACAACAGAAATGACATGGTATAAATAGAACATCTTATTTCATTTTATAAAATAAGCCTTTAATTATGCAGAATTACTGTATCTCTTGCTAATTAAAGTCAATCAACATTTCTGACAAATCATCTTTAATGTGTGTGTGTGTGTGTGTGTGTGTGTGTGTGTCCCACCCCCCACAGCTTTTGTTTTTATATTTTTTTGGGTCTGCAAAGGCTCTAATGCTCCGTCGTAAATCACTGCCCTTGACAGCATGTTTCCACAAATCAAGCAACAAATTGGGCATTTAGACTCAGCTGTCCAGTCAAGTCTGATAAACTTACGTGCTGTGTTTGACCAATCAGCGTCTCCAGACACTCACTCCAAGCAGCTGGCCTGAGCTGCTTTTCTCTACTTGAGGAATATTTCTAAATGAAGTAGACTAGTGTCAAAACATGAATTGGAGCCGATTATGTGTGCTTTCATGTCCTCTTGCTTTGATTATTGTAATGTACTTGTTACTTGCTTTATCAACAAAAAAGCTTTTGATCGTCTTCAGCTGGTACAAAACACAGCAGAGAGGCTTCTACTTGGAACAAAGAAGCACACATGACTGCCGTTTTAATCTCTTTGTTACTTTGAGAATGCATTTTAAAATGACGGTGTTCAATTTTAAGGTTTTAGACAAGTTTCTGATTCAACTCAGACTGGATTTAAATCCCAGAAGAGTAGCTGGTTTGAAGCAGAATCACCTCAGCTGCAGAATTAACTTCCTTTGTTTTTACGATGTTTTAACTCTTAAGATGCTGCTGAAGATTCTTTTACTTTCAAGCTTTAAATTGTTTGTTTTATTCATTTTAATGTATCTCAGGTTTCAATACATGTTCTTTAACCTTAATGTACTTGATATTTGTGCAAAGTGCTATAAATAACCTTTCCTTATTAACTCTTTTTCGTGCATAACGAGCTTTGAGAGGGTTGTCATGATGGTTTCTGCTGTTTTACAAGTTCACATTTTAACTACATTCTGTTTTCTATAATTACCAGGGTCCCTCTCCTTTATTATCTAACAGGAATGCCAGGTTTAACATCTCAATTCTCTAATTAGTAATTATTGTGACACATTTGATGACTTCCCACAGGCTAGTACTGAGGAACAGAGCTGGAAGAAGGTATCACGACTATCCAGAGGACCATTAACTCTGTGGTTTAACGAGGATGATAGTTCTCAGCTCTAACAGCCAACACTTGTCAATATTTGACTAGTATGAAGTAGTTAATTACCTGTGTGACATTTTCTGAGGAACTCCTAAAAAAATCTTTTGGATATTTTGTGTCTGACAGCAATTATCTCCAGCAGCTGAACGAGGGGAAAACGGATCCTTATTTGTGCTAATGGCGCTTTTATTTATTTTTGTGAATGACCCACAAATTGCCTTTTCAGTGGATGAAATAAATTTGTTGAATTAAATTATTTAGCAACAAATTGAATTTCTTTCAGCTGACTGGTTTTTGATGAAGGATAGAACAGGATGGATTCCTCTGACCTTTTGACTGCACAGCCAGAGTCATGTAGTGGGCTGAGTAGTACTTCTTCCAAAAGGCACGCAGACGCTTATAAACATTGATCTTGTTCTTCTTTGGCTCCTGCTTCAATGTCTGCGCGTTTCCTGGAGATGAATCGGGAGATCAATCAATACAGCCCAATAATGAAACTCAAACATTCAGGGGGGAAAAAGATGCAGGAAGGAAGCAAGAAACTTCGCATCATTTTCAGCACTGATGTCTGTTTTTGCTGAGCATCCTCCAAGGAGGCCGAGTGTGTATTAACAGTCCCAGGGGCTGTTTTTACTAACTCACCCCAACAGAACTTGCCCATGGGGTGTCCCGGTTTGGCCAGACTGCCAAACAGCATCTCCTTCCTGTGGGAGTCGGACGGCTTAGCCAGCTGGTACTCTGACAGACAGGAGAGGCACGGAAGTAAAAACAAAAGAAAATAACAAACACATTTCATGTAGAAGAGCTGCAGAAAAGTAAGAACCCCCAAATCACTCAGAATAAATGGCGAGACGCACCGCTGTCGACGGCCTCCACCTCCCTGTCGATGGCGTCTCGGATCATCAGAGGGCAGATAAAGAACTGAGCCCACCTAGGAGAGCAAACGATGCAGAATCAATTTCCCTCTGGGATTAATAAAGTATTTTTGAATTGAATTGAAGAAGCAGTAAATACCCCGGATAACAGAACCAGGGTTTGTTTCTGTGTTACACACAATAAATGAGGTTTTTAATAATGATCTCCAACATATTTACTCAGCAGATTTAATCGTTTTAATCAGAACTAATCTCGTCACGTTTCGTTTCTGAAGGTTAATCTCTCAGCCTCACATGGAAATTTTAAAAAACAAACTAGATTTCACTACGTCAGATGTTAAAATACAAGAACAAGGATTTTCACATCGTTCATTATTATTCTTTTCCTTCTCTGAAGTCAAGACCAGAGACCAAGAATGAGGACACCCAAACGTGAGCCGAGAGTCGCAGGACGATGTTTCTGGAAGAGATGTTTTATCTAAAAGCCTGGTTATTCAGAAGGACAGCTTCATTCTGCTGGTCCGGTTCAGTCATTTATAAGTGATTTTTCTTCTTTTATTCCTGTAATTTGGGGTTTCGCCAAATCCGTCGGCCTTGAGTCGTTTCGTCTTTTGAAGCCAATATCCAGCGTAAGAATAGTTTCCCACCGTTGGAGCAGGAAGTGATTTGGAGAGCGGAGATTGTTTGGGTGAGAAGTCTGCTCTTTTCATTTTCACAGACCTCACTCCCAGGTGCTCCATCGTTAACTGGGATGCTGCAATTACCGTCCACACATTGATCCTTCATGCTGCGTTTCACCACATCACAGTCCAATTTCTGTAACGACCATCTAACAACATAGCCTTTGGGTTTTGCCTACAATGCTGCGCCATCACAGAGCTCGTTTTTCTGAATGTTGGCTTTCCTCTGCCACTAAAGTGCTTTAAATGACTCATCTGATTTGGGAAAAAATGATAAGGCATAAATGTGATTGATTTATGTTAATATTAGGATTTGCAGTTTTTCTCACAGCAAACAAAAGATTCTTAGATGTTGAACTGCCTTGCTCCAAATGGCTTTTTCTTTCAAACGATCCATGAGTTCCTGAAGAAAATCTACATAAAATCTTAATGAAAACACTAATAATCATTCAACTAGTTTTAATGTATCCTTAAGAGACCCTCCGAATTATTTTCTCCTTTTCAAATCCCTGTGTCTTATGTTTGCCTGTCAATCAGGCGACGGCTCTCAAGAAATCCCACTCTGAAGGGCGACAGCTTCAAAAGCACAAACATAAAGACAAATAAAACGCTCTCATGCTTCCTAACCGGTCAAGAGCTTCTTTGAAGCTCTTTCTCTGGACGTCAAACTGGAAGATGGTCCTCTCGCAGTCTGTGGAGGCGTTGTCGCTCCCACCGTGCTTCTTGAGGAAAGCATCAAAGCCATTCTCTGACGGGTACTTCTCGCTGCCCATGAACACCACTGGGATACAGCAGGACATCAGACAGGGGAGGAAGAAGACAAATAAATAAATAAAAATAAAAGGAACGTTAATAAAACATCCATCACAAGTATTTGCTGAAAGAAGTGGATTTTTTTTCCCCTAACAGTGATACAAACACTATGAGGCAGAAATAGATAACGTCTCGTTTGTGAAAAGCTCTAAATAGAGTTGTGAAGATTTGGTGACAGTTTGGATGGCAGACTAAGAATGAGCAAGGGTTTCCTTTCAGACTAATCACTCACCAACAATGTTCAACATTCTCAGCTGATGGTAGCATCAATATAATAGATCACATTTCAGACTACGTCTGACACTTTATACAAGTCTAGCTTTCTCAGAAGGAAAAATCTGTTATTTTGGTCCCTTTCTGAATAGACGGATGCTGATTGTGGTTGATTCACCAATAAGCTCACAGCTCCCAACAGCTACAAGTAAACGCGACGCACATCAATGTCAGACAAAGATAAACATTTATGGAGGGGACCAATCCAAACCAACCTGGCCCTATGTGAACACGTCAATAGCTCTTCTTATTGATACATTAATTGGAAAGCAAACCACAACCATAACATCAAATAAAGAGATACCTCCATTAGAGCCTGTTTGATAACATGAAACAGACTCAAAGATCTCAAAAAGCAACACAGCACGACCGCACAACATCAACAGAACCTGCATGACTTGGTTAAAGTCAGAGGTCATGATTAAAAAAGACTAAATGGCATCAGAGAGTGTACCACAACCAGACCAAAACCTCTGCTGACAAAACCGACTCAAAGAACCATCTCACGTTTAGCAAAAATTATGTCAATGATCCCAAAGACTTTAGGAAAACATGCCATGGCCTGACGAGACATAAGTGGAATGTTCTGGAAGGTGCACGTGTGTACTGTTACACCGGGAGTAGAACTAGCCCTGCACTTGAGAAGCAGAACATCGGTGTTTCCCCTTCGTAGGCTCAGGCGTGGAACTGCGCCACGGCTACAAAATCAACCTCTCCGCTCTCACAGCCAACGCACGGACACAAAACAGTCCATGGATGCACCCCCCCGCGTCACGGCTGGAAACATTTCTATGAGAAACACTGAGAGTCAGACATGGCGGTGGTAGTATGATAGTCTGGGGGTGCCCTGCTGCTTCAGGACCTGGACCGTTCACAAATGATGGAACCATGAATTCTGCTTTCTAACTGAAGAAGAATGTCTGACCTTTGACCTTAAACAGGTCTTTCATGGTGGAGAAACACTTGGCTAACAATTCTGCAGAGACGAGTGGGTCAAAATGACTCAAGCTGTCATTGTCTGCATTTATAATCTGTTTACTGATCTGAAACATTTATTTATTTTAACCAAAAAAATAAATAAAAATAACACTAAGACAGAATATTCATAAAAATACTTTAACCACAGCACTGTAAATATATTTATGACATACTGAACTCAAAATCACACATTTGCTGGAAAACTAAGCAATGATCACTTAATATTTGTAAATTAATATTTTTTGTGTCGTTCTATGTGCTGTATGGTTATAAGCAGGTAATAAATAAGATGCACCACAAATGAGAAGCGGGACTGAAAAATGGGTCAAGGGAAGCCCCAGGGTTGATTCTGTGACCTTTGCCCCGCCACCCTGGGTTCCTCTGGCCCGAGGAGCTGGATATTCTGGGAGTTGTCACATTCTGTTAACTGACACTGAACTTGACTCAACATGATAATGAAACATGCGACAAGAACGAATTAAATCTGGAGTAAATGAATAATGAGGTTCTGTGATAAGAATCATTAAAACGGTTCATCTGAGTCTTCTAACTGAGAAGATTCACCTTGCCCCTTTCCTTTAACCTCAGGAGGATCTCCATCAGGGCCAGGGGTAGACAGGAAGGAAACTAGTTCAGGCGAAGTCGAGCCGACCACACTGCTAGGCAGAGACGGTCTGCAGGGGCGATACGCCCGTTAGAAACCGTTTTATCTACTAAACCTAAAGAGGTTCTAGGTGATACTTTGGCTTTTGAAGATGTGCAGGAACCGTGCTGAGTGTGCCTCGCTTACTTTTTTATTATTCACATGTTATCCCTTCAATTTGAAGCTTAACTGAAATAATAATCCATATTTTTCTAAACGGACATTAGTCACCGGTTTAATCGAGAGCACAGACATGAACAGACCTTCAAGGATTAATTACTCACTGTGTTCCAGAAAGTGAGCAAGGCCGGGGAGATCACTGGGGTCGCTGAAGCTGCCCACACCGACACACAGAGCTGCTGCAGACTGACACACACACACACACACAAACACACACTAATCTTCAAAACCGGCAATAATTTCAGGAAAAGTTAAATGATGCCTAACTCAATTATAAGTTTTTCTTTGGCTTTGAGTTAAACTCCTTTGAATGATTTAGACAATAAATGAGTTATCGTGTCATTGTTTTCTTTTAAAATCTCCTTCATTCGTGTTTTCATTAAAGAGCAAGTCACCCCCTACCAGAGTCTAACTCCACTCCCACTTCATGTTTGAAACATGTAACAAATGCTGTTGCCTGGCAGACCGAGAGGGCGGAGCTGCTAACAAATACACACACACACAAACACAGGCTCACGACAGCATTGTGACATCATAATGTACCAGTTTACATCATAGCATACCTCTTAGCCAATAGCGGTGGCAGATTTAAATTCAAATACAGTGCAGAGTTTTTACCTGACGACGGCACAACACTGACAGTTTTAGGCAGAATATTTAAATTTTAACTAAGATGCACTGAAGTGCCAAATTATTGCCGACACGTGTCTGCAGCACGATTAGACACTCGTTTATTTAGTTTATCAGCAAAAAAAAATAGTTTATTTGGGGGTGACTTGCTCTTTAAATCTGTTGTGTTCTCTAATATGAGCGAATGCATCGCGAGTCGTTTTGGGTGGTAAAAAGCTCTGGCACTCCTGTTTCAGGGGAAGTAGTTTGTTGGGGCAGTGTGTGTGTGTGTGTGTGTGTGTGTGTGTGTGTGTGTGTGTGTGTGTGTGTGTGTGTGTGTGTGTGTGTGTGTGTGTGTGTGTGTTTTGGTAACACTTATTAATATTCATGAGGTGTGAACATCTCGGCCTCTGGTTGACAGCAACACAACTCATTTATTGGGACAGCAGTAGCTCAACAGGTTGAGCGGGTTGTCCAGTAATCGGAAGGTTGCAGGTTTGATCCCGGCTCCGGACAGAGAATTCTGCTGTTGTGTCCTTGGGCAAGACACTTACCCCTAGGGCTGTCGCGGTAACCGCAAAAATGAAATATCGCAATATGAAGAAGCCCACCGCGCTGCATCATGGGCCACCGCGATTACTGAACTTGGTTCAACTCAATGATGCATGTTGAGAAGGATGGCTGCGCTGGTATCAAAATGAAACGTTACTTCGCTCCTTTGGGAGCACTTTGGTTTTCAGTACGTCAGCTGCTGCGCAGTCAGAGTCCTTGGCCGAGACAGAGCTGCCACCAGCGGCAAAATAAATAATAATAAACGCTCGGAGACCTGCTGAAGTCCCGGACAAGCACTGCTTCTGCAACCGTCCCGAAGAGAGTTTGAGCCGAGCTGGAGCTCACTCGCTACCTGCAGGAGGAACGCATCCACCCTAAAGAAACCCCCCTGACATGGTGGAGCAACAACCGGGAGAGATTCCCTTTGCTCGCCAGAGTCGCACGCAAGTACGTGTGCGTTAGTGCAACGAGCGCACCATCCGAGAGGGTTTTCAGTGTTGCTGGAAATGTTGCCACCCCTCTCAGATCCTCTCTCAAACCGTATATGGTTAACATGCTGGTTTTCCTTGTGGGTAACAAGGACGTGACCGAGCTATAAATCACCGTCATTTGTGTGTGTGAAAATGAAATGATAGTGCGCCCGCCCCCCGGCGCGCGCGCGCCCGGTACGTGTAATTTTTTATGCTTGATTTTAAACAACTAAACAAAATGGGGACTTGTTTCTTATTTGTTAGATGCTGCAGCCAAATTTGCATTTAAAAGTTTAACCTCCTGAATTTTGTTTTTAAGTTCAGTCGGACTCCGACTGTCGGAGAAACAAACGTTACTGCGATCTGTGTTGTTACTGCCCTTTGATCTGCATTCAGTAAAGTGTTATAAAAGAAGGCACGGCAATTTTTAACCTTTTTTAAATGTGTAAACATTAAGTTTAGATAGTACTGCAATAAAAAAAGGGCTGCAATAATATCGCACACCGCAATATTAAGCCACCCTGAATCACCGCAAGGGGAATTCCTCAACCGCGACAGCCCTACTTACCCCACCTTGCCTGCTGGTCGGCAGCCTCACCTCTGTCAGTGTCACCCAGGGCAGCTGTGGCTACATAGTAGCTCATCACCATCAGTGTGTGAACGTATGTGTGTGAATGTATGAATGATACACTGTAGTGTAAAGCGTTTGGAGTTCTTACTCTGAGAGGTGCTATACAAGTGCGGGTCACAACTCTTATTTATTATTGTAGAAATGCAACATTGAGGTTTTACGTGTTCCGCCACGCTGTGGAGTTGCTAATGCTAATGGTTAGCCTCCACCAGCTCAACACATAATTAAAAGACTGGAGGGGTGAGTCCATGAATGCAAATATTTCCCTGTGACGTAAAAGAGACTTGCTTCTTCTGATCTGACCGTGTTCCAGTGTATTTTCTTTCTGCAGCTGATGAAGGCGACAGGGGCTAAAGACATTTTTTAGGTTCAGCTTGCATGCACAACTCAGACTGACCGATTGTTTGAAAAAGAACAACTATTACACATGAAGCCAGTCACTCTTTTGGTATTTTAGTGCATCTTATTTAAAATGTAAACATTTACCCTGAAACCATCACTGATGCGCCCCCTTCAGGTTACACTGAATGAGCCATTGCTAATGACTAAGAGGCACCAAGTGAAGTTGCTGATATCGTATTATGTGGCTGCACTGGACTGCAGCCGAGTCTTGGCCATGTCTCCAGTTGGACCAGCCACTCACGAGCAAATACAAAATGACACAGCCCAGAGCCGCTCGCCTCTTCAAAATAAAACACCACTTTCTCATTTAGTGAACGAGGTGTAGAGAGAATCCGCCTGAGTGCTGCTGTATCTCTGTCAGTCACAGCCTCAGCGCCGCTCTCTCGGTCCTTCTTTAGGCGCATTTTTGAATTTGGGGGTGGAGTAAGACTCTGGTAGGGGGTGACTTGCTCTTTAAATAATCCTATTATTGTTAGAATTTGTCACATTAATGGACAAAATTCATGTCGAACTCATGGTAAATAATGTAGTAATTTTAGATTCACACACTGGGAGCGTGTTTTTACCCAGTCGATTTTGACAGAAATTTGGATACATTTTCTGCTTTTGTGAGTTAAATGTTGTTTTTACAACTTGATCTTTAAAGGGACCTCCTGAATTCTGCATCAGCAGCTGTTAGGTGATGCATTGCAGTGATTTGAAATTATGTGAAATGAAAAAGTGAACAAGAACACTGCAGACACTTAAGGGAATTTAAAAATTACCCAGCTTCATGCCAACACAGTCAATAATAGTGTTGTTTAACAGGGAGCTTTATTTAAATAGTTCCCAGTTTTGCGCTGCCATGTACTTCTTATTAATCTCATTTCAACACAAAGACTCTTAGTCTGAACACGACTCTGGGGATATTTACGACGAGTGCAGTTTGCTAAATCATAAAAGAGGCTGTTTTAGAACACTGCTGTACCTGTTTCTCTGCATTTCCTTTCTTCTTTTTCCCATCCTCATCTTCATCGTCCTCATCCCCCGAGTCATCTCCCGATTCACCATCATCCTCTTCCTCTTCTTCCTCTTCTTCTTCTAAGTCCTCTTCTTCATCTGGGTCTTCATCATCTGATGCCAATGGCCCGCTGTAGTCGGAGATAAGCAGAGCTCGCAGGCCGTTGTCCAAAACGAGGAACCTGAGGAGCATAAAGCCCGAGGTGAAACTGCAGTTTCATTTTTTTGGCTAATTTTTCTTCCCTTTCTTGCTTCCAACCCGGCTGGTAAATCATGTATGGCTTTAAAGGCCATATCTCGAGGCCCACTCTGTGCTTTTCTCACAGCATAATTTCTGTCTGCGCCCCACGGACGCCCGAGGCACCGGTGTGTGCTTAAAGCATGAAATCATATCATCAGACTACAATAATGTTAATGCGCTGATCCAGCAGAGAAGCAGCTCGATATCATTTGTGGATTGGGGTTAGTAGATCTGGGTCATTTTCTCAGCATTTTTCACTTTTACGAGTTAAGATTATAGCACTAGTTTTTCACTAGAATAAAAAAAATAAATAAATAAGTGGGAATAAACTACATAGAATCCTCCAAAGACTGGTGCTGAATTAAACATGAGGATGCCATAAAAGCTGGAGGGTGCCAGCTTTACCTGTATTGTTTAGGATCACTGGGTGACTTAATGATCTCGCTGTCCCCAACGTTGTCCTCTCCTCCTCCTCCAGCATCTTCTGCAGTAGGGTTCTCTTCCCGGAGCGCCGGCTCTTCAGCGGAGGCCCCCGACTGGACCGGAGTGTTTCTTGATTTGTTGGTTTGCGGCATTCTCAAAAGAGGCGACGAGTCTTTGGCGATGCGGGCTGACAGCAAAGCTCGGCTATAAACAACAGGGCGGCCTGCTGTCAATGGTAATTTAGTGCTGAGCACGGCAACACACCATGTCAGTCTGAACAGGGCAATGATGAAGGCCTAAAAAAAGGAAAGAAAACACGAGTCACCAAAGACTCCCGACATGGGGCGTGAACATGAACTGTCATAACTTGAGGTAGACCAATAAATCAATAAGGCTGATATTTGCAACTTTTTAAACGGTCTACTAAGCCTGTGCAAACTTGGCCAATTACCAAGAGGGAATAGGACGATTCAGCAGCAGCAGCTCAATCAGCCTTATCATACACCAAACAGAAAATATCTGCAAATTATATATAAACTCTAAAAAGGTCATTTAAACGATCAACAGAACAAACTGTTATGGATTCATTTAAAATCTGATGCTTGGCCTAAATTTATATCAGTAGGTAAAATAGGTGATTAAAACACCTGAGCTTTTATACTAAAATACAGTCTGCCATAAACTGTTAGGCCTTTCTAGGATAAGAAATACATTGAATAAATATTTTTGTAACAATCAGAGAGTTCTAAACGGTAGGCGAGAACTCGTTAAAATTTATCTTCTGCTATATTGACCAATGCTGCTATAAAAGCAGAGAAGAGCTAATATGGAAGCACAACTGTCCAAGCAGGAAGTATGAAGAAAATTGCGTTTTTGGGTGACACGGTCTGTCTGAGCCATTCAGCTGCTCTCCTCTTGTGGCTTTGTTGAGTTTGAACCTGATCCTCCTCCCTGATGGTCTGCTCACACCTCAGTGACTCTGCCAATCATCGCAAGTCACACTGAGCTAAGTCAGCAGCAACGGTGACAATACAGAAATGCATTTTCACAAATATCAGATGCCACCAGTGTGTGTTGCCCTCACTCTGTCATTTTTACTTGCATTGACTTTAAAAACACAAGATGCATGTGTGTCAAAATAATATATGTGTGTGATTTAGAAGCAAACGTCAATGAAAAGCTTGGTTCATTTCTGAATTTCCAAACTTTTAAATTGAACAAGTCAGTTCTAAACATTTTTGGAATGTTCTCTGCGTCAGAAGGTCAGAACACGAGCAGAGCTGTTACAAAAACATAAAACTGGAAACCCAAAGGTCCAAGCAAGAAGGCAAAGTAACACATTTATCCTGTAAAAATGCTCTTCTGAGTGTAGTTTTATTTATTTATCTGCATAGGATATCCAAAAAGTGTCTCGTCAGATGAAAAATAACATATCTGACAAAAGCAAGTATGACATCGGTATCGGTAATACCAACCCAGATCAGTCAACCTCTTATCACATCTCTCACTCACACTCACACCTGCCACAATACACCAACTCACGCGGACTGTCTGGTGGTTTCGTCCTATTCAACTCGATGTCAGCTAAAACTCAGCCCGACCGCCCTGACCCGCAACCTAAAACAACACCACCGGGATTAGTTAGAAGCAGCTAGGGACACGTCTTTTAACACGAACAGAAAGCTGAGCAGGTGTATCGAATCAGGCGGACATCACAGCAACATTTGACGAGTTTACGTTTCAGGTTGTACAAATGAAAAGTGACACATAAGCTGTTAAAAGGGTTCATAATGCCAGAGAGTACATGTATCCATACCTGCTTCCTCTGCTGTTAGCTAAAGGGCCTCGGCAAATGCCCACCCAACAAGAAGCGCTGTGATTGGCTCACGTGGTTGGACGTCGATTCATAGCGACGTCCGATTGGTTAATTTTGACAAGGGGCGTGATTTATTCGATCCTACGTGTGCCCCGTTGAATCCATTGTAATACACTAGATTACCATCTGCCGCTGCTCCCCATCTGTTTGTTATTATAGTTGTTTGATTGAAAACGTCCAGCCGGCCTCTTGTCAAAATCACAAAATATTATAATTGGTCGTTCTTGAATTTAACAAGTCACAGTTGAATTTGAAGTTACCAGATGACTGCTGAGGCTGCGTTCCAATAAAGATGTGCCCTTGCAGAACATTCGCGCAGAAGAGGTTCAGGTCGAGATGCTTGTGACCGGTAGGTGGCAGGCATAGGCCATCAGGATGGGGGAAGTCACTCCTCATCAGATTTACACTGGAAAGATACCAATATCCAGTTTAATAATAATAATAATAATTTAAGGAGTTGTGTCAGCTCATCAAAGCGTCACACATCTACTCACAAACAACAAACAGCAGTTGGGGAGAAAAAAGAAGAGAAAAAACAAAAAGAACCTTCAGGGGAGTTAACAATTTCCTAATTCTCAAATCAGAGTCAAATGGATAAAAACAAACTCCTATCATGAATAAGCCGCACTGACATTTATCCAGGGCTCTTCCTCAGCCTTTACTCTGCAGAGTGTTGGCATTTCACCTCTCTGCTGTGCCAATATGTCCTCCCCCTCACTCACCATCTCCCTTTCTCTCTCTCAGTCTGAAGCCAATCTGATTTGCCCCTGGGTCTGTGTTGGCAGAAAGAGGTGATAAACACCGCAACCATGACAACCGGCAAGCCAGACAAACACCAGAATTCTTGTATCCTAATGGCTTTGCTTGACATCCTCTCCTCCTTTAATTCATCACATCTAGCCTTCACCTGAGCTGATATTACGGCTCTCGGGACAGATAAAAGGTGGCATGGCCCGGCTGCACTTTGAGCTTTTTCATCCAGTCTTTTAAGATAAGCGGGTGGGATGTCTATCAGCATGTGAGATGAAACAGTGTTAAGGCTAAAGTCTCCACATCGCTTTAAAACCAGCCCCGGCATTAGTCACTGAATAAATATTTCCTCAGTCTGATTAAAATTAACATTAGTGTTAAAATTCCTGATGGGCTGAAGTGAAAGTACTGACCTGGCACATTATGATGAGGTTCTCTCAGATTGATTCCTTTGATGGCTGAGGCCATTATTCTTTGCAGAGTAAAGTTCTGGAAGAAGTATGCAAACGCCAAGCTTGCTTAAATCTCGGCTGTGGTAACAGGAACGATAAGCAACTTTTAAGGATGGCGTGAAACTGCTTTCACATGCCTTACCATGGGGGAGACTGTCAGAGCTTTTTTGTCAGGGATTGATTGGACAGACTGCTGCAAACCACAAACTTCCACTTTAATGTCAGTGCACATGGCCTTTTCACAGAGAGGTGCGTCATGCCATCATAGCTGCAGCGTGAGCCATCCTAATTCCATGTTTCTTTTCTCCTCCCATTTCCGTGTCCCTCTCTGTGACTGAACCCAAATTGAAGTTCAGATTCTGCACCTAAGGCATCACTAGAAGAAAAATTGTGTCTGTGTGAAAATGCGATGTAGACCACAGCCGGCTGAATCACTGTATGCATTATGAAGTCGACCCCTCTCTCGGACAGCTTCCTTTGGAGTCGTTGGAGGCTGCAGCAGAATCAAGATCCTTACCTGAAGACTCCAAGGGGGCAAGGTTCCCATGGCAACTGATTTGAATCCAAATTAAAACAGGAGATTTTATTAATTAGCTCAACAATGTGTGTGTGTGTGTGTGTGTGTGTGTGTGTGTGTGTGTGTGTGTGTGTGTGTGTGTGCACGTGTGTGTGTGTGTGTGTGTGCACGTGTGTGTGTGTGTGTGTGTGTGTGTGTGTGTGTGCATGTGTGTGCGTGTGTGTGTGTGTGTGTGTGCGTGCATGTGTGTGTGTGTGTGTGTGTGTGTGTGTGTGTGTGTGTGTGTGTGTGTGTGTGTGTGTGTGTGTGTGTGTGTGTGTGCATGTGTGTGTGTGCGTGTGTGTAGGAGCTGGCGTGCTCCTGTGAATCACGGTATAAATGAGGAGGGGGGCGTTATGTGCTTATATGTGTGTGTATTTATGTGTGTAATCATGAGCCTGTGTAATCCTGTGAATCACCACAGCCATTCCTGCATGTGTGTGCATGTGTGTTTATGTGTGTGCATGTGTTTCCTGTCTCTCAGGAGGCTTGTCCTTGCCTGCAGTACTACTGTGTGAATCAGAGGTGAGTCCTCAGGAGTTGCCCTTTGCTTTAATCTGGAGCTAATGACAGAACCACCTGCCCTCCTGGCCATAACTCCCCCCCACCACCACACATCTCAACCATCCCTCACAACCCCCATATGCCCACTGCTCATTGTTTCTTTTTCACTCTCTCTCAGAGTCAGTGGGTTTATTCCCTTCCGTCTGTCCCTATTCTTTTCTACTTGCTTTATTCTCCTTCTCCAGGGTTCAGGAAGCCCTTGACTGCCTTTCTGAATGCCTCACCCTATGCTAAGTATCTAGCTACTGGGGGCATTGATGACCCTAAAGTATGTGAACAACAAGTGGCTTGAAAGATATTTTAAAGGGCACCAGTGGATTTGCAAAGAGATGAAAATTCACATTGCCACTCTTGCATCGCCTTGTCCTCTAGTATCGAGTGTGAGTGTGTGCTCACGCATGCAAGACGATCCCAGAGGATCTCTCATGAACAAAAGCATAATTGGAGAAAGCTGTAAAAGCGAGATGACCACTTTGTGCGATATGTCCTCAGTGGAAGATGAGATGGGGTGAGCGTGCAGAGGAAAGTAAACTGGATTAAATCAAAGAAAACGTGGCAAGGAAACAAGCCTGGATTAACAAGAGCCCACAAGAGAGTCAAGGTGGTGAAAAAGGAACAGGCATGGGGAACGAATGGAAGAAAGGAGTGTGAAATCTAAGGAATCCAAGTATAATCTGACAGAAATCATTCAGTCAGGACAGAGGGAAAATGATTTGGAGAAGCAGAAGAGGAAGAAAGGAGAAGTGGTTGAAGCGAAACAGCATGAATGCCCATCTATTTCAGCACTGGACAGCTCCACAGACAGCACTAGGCCAGTATAAATAGATCCCCTACTTTAGAGGCCCAGTCAACAGTCCAAAAAAGTACTTTATGTGCTCAGAACAGTGCCTGTCCCTAAAGAAAAGACACGCAGGTATCTGATGGTGCCTGATAATCATCTTTTCACAGTTTTCTCTCCGTTTGCTTTCTTAACTTAGGGAGCCTCCACAGTTCAGCAGCATCACTACAGTGGGAAACACAGGTGTTTCTTCTATCAGCTTCTCCTTCATGCTCACGTTTTTGACCGGTTCCAACAAATTATTAAAAAACATGAAAGTGATCTTAAGGGTTTGATCTTTGCACACATCAGCACTTCTGCATGACGTTCCTCTGTCTGTCTTCATACTCTGTCTCATCCAGCCTGTGTTTCCATCCAAGCAAGCGTTAAGTAGCCTTGTGGGAAGCTGTAATAAAGACTAATGCACCTGAGAGCCCTGAGATCCATAACCATCATCTGCATCTCCCTGATATTACTGGAACCATCTCTGCTTCTGATAGGGATCTCCAGGGAGAGCTTTCCCTCCCCTTCACTGCTACAGAGGAGAGTTGGGGAGGAAGGAGGGAGGGGAAGGATGCACCTCTCCATTCCCTCAAGGTGAGTCACCTTATAATGCACGAAGAAATCAATGGGAAATTGAACTGAAAATTGAACTTTCAGGCAGACATGTTGTTATTAAATCTTTTCCAATATAGTCATGAAACAGGCTGACTGATATGTGAGCGCTTGTTTTCAGCATCACAGCAGCGTGGGGGTGTTTGACTGGGACCCCGCCATGTCTAAGTGAGCCCCGGGTTTTACAGAGGCCCTATAGCTGTCACTTAGAGGCGGTATTGATGGCCCAGCAGCCACCTAGCAGTGAATTCCCCGGATGAGGGGCTGGTGGGGGTGGGGGTGGTCCTCACCACCTCCCACCTCCTGACAGGCGTTTAGATCAACCCAGAATCGGCTCTATTATTGCGCCGCTCATAAAAGTCATCGCTGCTTCTTTCAACAGGCGCGCGCGCGCACGTGTTCTGGCGAGCCAGCTGGTGCGAAGTCGCCATGGTAACGCACTCATCGTTTTATTTTTTATTTCTTAATTTTTTTTTTACGAAATCCGTGGGTGCTTAAGGGCAGGAGAAGAAATGAATAAAGTAATGAGATTATAAATTATTGTCGGTATAGCGGAACGGTCTGTGTGTTTTTTACCGCGCCGCACGCGCGTGAGTAGAAAGTTTATGGGACTCTCTTCTGTAATCTGTTTATGACGGCAAACTAGACTCGCTCCCACCACTCACGCGCGCTCATGTCTCATATATTTAGCTACAAGTGAGCGCACGCGCGCCGCCTCACATTGCATGAACAACTCCGAATCCCCCCCCCCCCCCCCCCCCCCCCCCAGTCTTTTTCTCACCAACCCTGAACTACCCGCTAGTGTTTCAGATTAAGAGGTGTTTGCTTCGCCACACGGGTTCGAACCCCGTCCGATGTCGCTGCGCCACAATCTCATTTTCCTCCTTTCTGTACCCCTCTCGTTTTTTTATCCTCTACCTCATTGCAGTCTTATCACGTCCCCCTTTTGCTCTGGTCCCCCTCCAGCTCTCTCCTCACATCCACCTACACCCCTTCCTCCCTCCCTCATCCGCTACAGGACAGAGCGAGAGAGAGAGCGAGCGAGAGAGAGAGCGAGCGAGAGAGAGAGAGAGAGAGAGAGAGAGAGAGAGAGAGAGAGAGAGAGAGAGAGAGAGAGAGAGAGAGAGAGAGTGCGGCTGAACGTGAACGACATGTCGACAGTCAGCCTCTAAAGTGTTTTCTCGGTCGTTCCTTAATTATTTGGCGGCGGACTGAGTGAGTATTACCCGCATCCCTGCTCTGCTGAGCGTCGCAGTGTGGATCCGAGAGGCTGGAGGGAAGACGCAGACAATGAGGAATGCAATTGGATTGCGTTACTCTGCTAAGGATTTCCATACATAGCCTGGTAAATGTCTTAATAGGCTCTTTTTTAATGACCAAGCTCACGCTTTAGTCCAAAGAACTGTGACAACATGTGCTGCAATGTTCTGATTGATTTCCTGTGAGTTCTTCTGGCTGATAGCCCTGTGCATTTGATCAGTGATGCTGCTGCTGCTGCTTGCCTGATAGTGCAGGGTCTGTGCTGGGAGCAGGGGCCCATGTAAAAGCCAGTGTGAGACTCGGTGAGTGTGTTTTTCTGACCGCCAGAGAGGACAGAGAGGTAGACAGTGGAATTATGTGACATGAATAATATGGTGAGGAGAACGAGCAGTGACCGTCATCTCTGGTTCGCTTGCGTCAGGTCTGGAGGAGAGAGGAGGGGAGAGAAGAGAGGGAAACTCAGAGACTCAGGAGAGACATGGAGGGAAGCCACACCTGTGTCGGGCTTTTAAATCAGACTGACACGTTCAGATGGACAGAGTTTTCTGCTGCGCTTCTTCAGTCAACATGAGTCCTTTCAGTTCTTGTTGCCACAATGATGTGGAGCTATGCTGACTGCTGACTGGTCCACTTAGCTGATCCGAGAGAGAGGCTTGAGTGTTGACTGTGTTACTTCTCATCAGGGAGAGATAGCCATCCACCGAGGCAGAATCTAGCAGGAGGGATCCCAGCGGTCTATCTGGACTCAGTATTGATCTCCTTTGTAAAAGAGAAGGGGGGGAGGAGGAGGAGGGGTTCTTCTTGCCCAGTGATAAACAATGCACTTCTTGGATGAGAGAGGAGGCCCACTGGAACTCTCTTTCATGCCGTGCTCCAGTTTGTCTGACATTACTAAGTATGTTAGCCTAGATTGTCTAAGAAGCACAGATGCTCTAAAAAAACTCTCTAATGTTGAATTTTCCTCATGGAGGAGCTGCATCCTTCGCAGAGATGAAGCTTCCTGAGCTTTCCCCGAGCTCGTCCAGCACCTTTAGCAGCTCTGTGTTTGTTATGAAAGCTCACACTCATCCACACGTGTCTTGCTACCTGTTTCTGTTCTTGGCACGGCTTTAAAAGCACACTTTTTGGATATGCTTTGACCTTTGTGGCATTGTTTTCAGCACACCCACAGACGCACACACACAGAACTTGGCTCTGGCGCCGTTTCTCCGTGAGGCGGGCGGACATTGCGTGCAGGAGCAAGAGGAGGGCTTTGATGTAATCAATATCAGATTTCAGCTGTTTCACTCCGAGCTCTCATCCTGAGTGGCAGCCTTGACTGACTTCTTACTGCTTATGCAATCCCACTCCTTTCTCCATCCTCACCCATTTCCCCCTCCTTTGCACCTCTGCTCATTACTCTCCCCTTATCTGTCTGTCTCTCCAGTACACCATTCCTTCACCTTGCCCTCCTCCTCCTCCTCCTCTTTCTCCAGCTTCTACTTCTCTCTTCATCTCTCCCCGTTATAATCACCTCTGTGATTGCTCTTCCTCTCCCGGGTGGGGATGTTTTCACCGCTGCCTTCTTGTCTAACCCGCCGATGCCAGATTATTGCTGGATGATTACAGCTACCATACCATCATGATCATTATTGCATTTCGTGTGGTAGTGTTCAACACTGTATGAGCAGATCAAGATGCTTTATCCAATTTAGATCTCATTAAGACTTGAGAGGAAATATCCCCGTGCAAGAGTCTGCATTATCAGCTGTTTTCCTTCCTTCTCTCGTTTTCTTCGTTTGGCACGACTCGTGCCACTCGGTTCTCACTTTCTTCTTATTACAGTGCCATTCTGCTCCTCATCACCATCACTTTCACCAACAGTTCACGTCCCAGCCTGTCGCTGCATGACTTCCATGTCAACCCTTGAGATTTGCTCCAGCCAATGGCCATCGGTAACCTGACACGTTGAGCCAATTGATAAATCCCAGCTGGTCTGATTGCCATTCATCCTATCAAACGGAGCAGCTCATTAGATGGCAGTGTCATGAATCTGATTTGCGTTTACTCATATTCATATCGCATACATTAAAACAACACATGCGTGGCATTTCAGCTTCGCAGGCCATTTGAGAATACACATGAATATATTCATCACACACCCCTACTTCATTTACCCCCCCCCCCGAAAAACCCTCTAACATGATTCACAGGTGAGCTAGCTCATGTGTGTGTCTTTGTTTTTTCAATGACACTGTCATTATTTGAATTTATAACAAAAACCAGAGCTGCAGCCGCTGAAAAGCTGCTCAGATTGAACAGCTCCTTTCTTCAAAGCCTTGACTTCAGCTTATTTCATTTGTTTATCATAGTTTGACTCATATGAGGGCCTCCAGTTGCACATCCTTATTCAAGGATAATGAAATTCTTTCCTTGTGGTTCCACAGTCTGTGCGATTTAACATTTATTTTCTGACCACTTGAATTTGCTTATGATGCATCACCAGTCTGATTCATCCCAATGTGACTACTTTGGCCCATATTTTAACCACGCGTGCGTGTGTGTTTATGTGCCTTCGACTCTCCTTTTGCAGTGCGATAAAACGGCCTGATGTCGGCCTGCAGGCTGCTGAGCTGAAAGGGAGAAGCAGCAGGATGCAGTGGGTCACTTTGGCAGTGGCCCTGGGCTGTGTGCGCCTCTCCCAGGCGTCGCACAGCCCCACCCCTACCCCCACCTCCACCCACAGCCCTCTGGTGGACAACTCCGAGGAGGAAGTGGACGAGCCGTGCTTCGAGCCGTGCACGTGTGAGGTCAAGGAAGGTGTGCTGCACGTGCACTGCGATGGGCGAAGCTTCACTAATGGAAGCCAGGTAATACTCTTCCTCCTGAAATAGATCGTGATGGTGCAGCATTGCAGATTTAAAAAAAAATGCCTGTATGAAATGTTTCTTCCTGTGATTAATAATCTAATTAATCCTTCAGGTGTCACACTCTTGGGTCCGCCCTTTCAAACTCAACCTGCAGAGAAACTCTTTAAGACGTCTCTATAGCAACGGCTTTCAGCACCTTGGCAATGCGGTGTCGATAAATCTCGGCAACAATGGACTCCAGGACATCCGAGTGGGAGCCTTTAACGGGCTGGCAAAACTGAGACGCCTGTACCTCCACGAGAACAAGCTGGAAGTCTTCAGAAATGACACCTTTGCTGGTTTAGAGGCGCTGGAATACCTCCAGGTGGGGCCGGAGGAGACAATCTCAGTTGATTATCCTTGATTGACTGTTTTATTGACAAATTAACACAAGAATAAAAGTGCCAGAAAGAATCAATGTCCAGCAGGTATCCTGGGAGAAAAGGGGTAAAAAAAAAAGATGTGCTTTTTTTCTCAAGATGGATAGTGCTTAAGCTTGCAGTTTCGATAATGACACCTTTGCCATTTTGTGTCATCTCTTCCTTTTCTGCAGGCTGACTACAATGTGATCAAACGAATTGACAGCGGCGCTCTGAGGTTTCTCTACAAGCTCCGGGTTCTCATTCTGAATGACAACCTGATTCCTGCGTTGCCTGCTCATCTGTTCAGGTTAGACTAATTATTTCACAGCAACATTTTTAATTATGACAGGACTGATCTATGGAAATATCACCGTCAGACACAGCTGCAGTGTTCTGCTGGAGCTGTGTCACTGTAGCACACACCAAACACGATCAGTGAATCATCAAATAAAAACCAGACTTTTCCTCTTTAGACTCTTTGAACATTTCGGTGTGTTTTCTTTTGACGTTGTCCTTTTATCTAACCTAACTAACTGTCCTCCTCCTCCTGCACCAGAGCTGTGTCGCTGACTCATTTGGACCTGCGGGGGAACCGTCTGAAGAGCCTAGCTTATGCTGGTACCCTGGAGTACATCGGCCGTTCTCTGATGGAGCTGCAGCTGGAGGAGAATCCCTGGAACTGTGGCTGCGAGGCGGTGCAGCTCCAGCAGTGGCTGGGTCAGATCCCCTACACGGCCGTGGTCGGGGACGTCACGTGTGAATACCCGTTCCACCTTCACGGCAAGGACCTGAGGGAAATACCCCGCAAAGAACTGTGCGCTGACCTGCCAGATAAAGAGCTGCAGGGCGAGCGGGGAGGTCCATCAGCTGGATCCAAGCCTCAGGCCTTGCCCCCTAACTCTAAACCCAACTCACATCCCGGGAGAGTCCGGCCCACTAAACCTTCATCCATGGTGCACGGATCCCGCCAGAATACTCACCCTTCCTCCACTTCATCATCTTCCTCCTCAGCAGAGCGTAGGGACAAGGAGAGGCAGCCGAGGCCGACTAAAAGGCCTCGGCCCTCCAGGACATCCCCCACTTCCCGCAGTCTGCTGCCCCCCGTGGCCGGTTACCAAACACGGCCCCCCATCCCCATCATCTGCCCCATCGGCTGCACTTGCAACTTGCACATTACAGACCTTGGTCTCACTGTCAACTGCAAAGAGAGCGGCTTCCTCAACGTGTCCCAGCTCACACCTCGGCCTCTGAACGGCCGCAAGCTCTACTTGAGCGGAAATTTAATCCAGAACATCTACCACACGGACTTCTGGAATTTCTCCAGCCTGGACCTGCTCCACCTGGGGAACAACCGCATCTCGTACGTGCAGGAGGGGGCCTTTTCCAGCCTGATGAGCCTGAGGAGCCTCTACCTGAATGGGAACTACCTGGGGCGACTGAGCCCCCACATGTTTCTGGGGCTGCAGAATCTAAGGTAAGATGTTTTTCTCTCTCTCTCTCTCTTGGATCATTCACTTCACTGCAGTTAAAACAATCTCAAAACCACATGTCATCTTGGGCATTTAGAGATTTGTTTGTATATATGTTGAAATTAATTTCCCACTAATTCTGGCACAGCACGTAGAGGCAAACTGTGATTACCATTTTACTGGAGTTTGATTGAAAAGAAGGAGCCCATACTCTCCCATGTTTGTCATTACTCAGGCCCTGTCCACACGTAGCCGGGGATCTGCCAAAACGAAGATATTTTTCTACGTTTTGGCCTGTCATCCACACGATAACGGATCTTTTTAAAAACTCCGGCCAAAGTGAAGATCTGCGTTTTCTCCGTCTTGGGTGTCTGCGTGTGGACAGACAAAACCGGAGTTTTAAGGTCCGCAACGTCACTTTCCGCGACAAAAAAATGCTGACATCATGTGTGCGACCTGTGTTTACACTAGCCGACAGCATGGATGCCCTCAGAGCTGCGCTCGCTTTATCAATTGTCCAAGCGCTTTTTGCTTGTTTGTTTTTGCAAGCGGAATTACTGCTCCCTGCAGAAGACCACAGACGAAGGACGAGGTTAAAAACGGGGGAAGTACTGCCGCCTACAGGTCTGGCATGTCTTTAACAACGTATTTGTCCGGGTACGTGTGGACAGAGTTTTTTTTTTAAACGAGGTGGTGTGGATGCAAGTTTTTGGAGGGGTGGATATTCGTTTAAAAAAAAAACGGCTACGTGTGGACTAGGCCTTAGTCACACTGTCTGATGACATGCTCCAGTTCAGTCGTAAGCCTGCTATGAGTGACAATGTGAAAATGAACGTTTTTATATTCACACACAGAGGTGTGGATAAGACAGTGAGGCGTCTGGATGATGCCAGGATTTAGTATTTTTTTGGGAAGGAAAAGATGAGATTTTAATAAAAAGGCCTTGTCAGAGTTATGCATATGTATATTGTCAGATTAGGCTTTCAGAGATGAATCATCTGCAAATAATGCATATCTGCAGTCTGTAAATGAAACATTGATGAGGACAAGAGATCAGTGCTCACACTCCTCCGTCTGAAGAATGACAAGTTCTGATGCTTTCTCATTCACAGCATCACTCAGCCTTTGATTTCAGCTGCACAGTCTCTAAATCTGAAGACAGGTTTAAGAAAATCTACAGACCCATTAATCTGACTATTAATCAATAATGAGGATCCTCCATGGACACTGGAAATGTCTTCCTCTTAACCTCTCGTTAGCCTTTGTGAGTGACTTAATAGTGACGAAGCACTATGAGTAATTTAAACCAGATCTATTTCTTATTTCAGCAATAAAGGGATATTGGATCACTAGCATGAACTGGTTTCTATTATTTAAAAATGGAAAATGTAACTTTTATTTAACACGTTCTGAGAACTGATTCTGAACATGAGTGAAACTCCAAAAGATGTGATCAGTTTGTGAGCGGTGAACGGAAGTTAGATTTCTTCTGATGACATGAAAAATAACTCTTCATTCTGTTTAACAGCAAGGTTAACAAAGCATTTCTCCACCTTGATGCCATCATTCAGACCACGCTTTTCTCCTCTCCCTCCTGACTCCAGGTACCTTTACTTTGAGTACAATGAGATCCGTGAGGTGGATCCCGGCACCTTTGACTCCATGCCTTCCCTTCAGCTCTTATTTCTCAATGCCAACTTGTTGCAGAGGCTCCCTCTCGGTGTTTTCTCTAGAGTCAGTCTGGCTCGTCTCAACCTGCGAAACAATCTCTTCCTGCAGCTCCCGATGGAGGGAGTGCTGGAACACCTCAAAGGACTGGTGCAGGTTGGTGTAAACTTATTACTAACGTTATTTACTGAATGATGCAGGAGCTTGATGCTTCAAGTGCTTCTGAACTGCCAGCAGTAGCAAGTCAACTTAAGGGTCTGGCATCTTTTGAAATAATTCATATTAGATGATGAAAGTTTGGTCGAATCCTTGAAATAATGTTAAGTCAGATGTAGGGCTGGTTTTTATTTTCTACAGGGCTGCTAAAACATTTTTGCCCCTTTTTACAGACCAGCTGTTTCAGATCAAGCCATCTTCAATTGATCACGATCATTTATTAAGGAAAAAAGGCTATCTAAACCAGTTGCACCAGCCACGCCCAAACTGGGTTATTGTCAGGCTCGTAAAGAATCTGTCTGATAACAAAATAGGCTTAAAGATCTCAAAATGCAACACATTGTGTCCCGTTCTAAAGAAATTCTATCTCATCAGCTCATTGCTCCCTTCATGTTCTCACTCTGTATAATAATCTACTTGTCTTTCTACACAGTATTTCATTTTTTTATTGTTTTTGTTAATTTTAATTATTTATTCTTCTTTATTTTGTTCTTTTTTGAACCCAACGTCAACATTTCCCCACTGCGGGACAATAAAGGGACAATCTATTCTATTCTATTCTATTCTATTCTATTCTATTCTATTCTATTCTATTCTATTCTATTCTATTCTATTCTTAATTCTAGAACAAAATAACTCAGAACAACATCTATAGAGCTGACCCAAAAGCCCACAACGGCTCATCTCAAATCTGCCAAAAAGCATCTCGATGGTCCCCAAAACTAACTCTGCATTTGCACAACATCATCACGCCAACATTCAAACACGGCGATGGTAGTGTGATGGTCTGGAGCTGTTTAGCTGTAGCTGATGGAATCATGAATTCTGCTCACCAACAAAAAAAACCTGCATGAAAAGGTTTTGACCTTTGACCCTAAACATGCTGGAAAACTTCAGTGTGACTGAATGATACTAATTTCATGAAGAAGAGTGGGCAAATTTCCTCCACAGGGATGTGAGAAACTCATTACCAGTTATCACAAAGACCGAGAGCGTTACAACCAGTTATTAAGTCGAGGGTTCCATTACTTTTTTCACAGCGCTGTATTGTGCTCGATGACAGAATTAATCTATTGCTCTCCACATAATGCTGTCAGCTAGTTTGTTTTTGAACACACTAGGGAACCTTAACTGCCACATTTTATCATTTATATAAAAAATGACACTTTTTATCACTCAAAATATGAACATTCATCCCACTAACATTATAGATGGTATGCTATGGAACAGAACGATGTCGGCACTTGGATAGAAACCATTGTGGCACAATAATGGAGAAAAGGACTGAGGTTTTATCCGTTTTTTTGGATTTTCTACGGTGGCCTTCTTGAGATACAAACACAGCGATAAACTTACTCATCCAAAGTTCTCACTTCGGCAGCTTGTCAATTAAAATTGTTATTATTGAACCGAATGACCCTAATTGATTTCCTAATCAAAAATGCATATTGTAAAGCCAATTCCTCCTAAATGTCAGACAATGACACTAAAACGGTTTTATTGATTGCCAGCATGCAATAAACAGAATCATCTCAGCTTAATGAATCAAATAAAAGCAGATGAGATATTGGATCTAGCCCCGTCTGCAGCCCCTGATCTCTGGCCTCTGGAGCAGCTGGAGTCTTCTTCTATCATCTGTTGTTCTGAGAGCTGAGCTGCAGCTTGTGGGACTCTGGCTGTGCCTCAGGTATTCCAGTTGGAAAATTGCAATTGACTTCATTTGCATAAGTGGTCTTAATAAGTCAGGAGCTAAACTGAAGTAAGCTAAACCCTTCAAGTGTTTAAATGTGGTCTAAATTAATTTACCGTTCACTAAATAGACTGTAGAAACCATTACGTCTGTTACATTAGCATGATTTTTCTGTTGTCGTTGATGGGTTTCACCTCTCATATTTGACTGCAGCATTATGGGATTGGTTGCTGTGCTGAATACACCGATAGTGATATATATATATATATATATATATATATATATATATATATATATATATATATATATATATTTTCTACCTCACGGCCTCCTCTCACTTCAGCATATTTAGTCTACTGGGCTTTTCTTAGACAGCCAGAGCAGAAAGCGGTAAGGTGGGTGTAGATTAGCCTTAATGTCATTGTGAATTTCCGTTTTCATTTGGTGCAATAAAAAAAAATCCCTGATCTTAGGTTGTGTGGGTGAGGCAGTTTAGCTGCAGGTTGCTTAAGGAAGGGACGAGCTAGAGGAACCGCGGCACATAAGAGTATTTACTCTGATGTTCACCAGAGTTTAAGCTTTCACAAATTGGGAGCTGTATTTATTGAACCTAACTGCTATAGCTGGGATAAAGATCTGTGCCACGACAGCTGAAACCATACATTCAGTGGGTTTGTTATTTCTCATTAAAAGCTGCGTCAATGCTGCAGAAAATAACGTCACCTGTTGTTGTTCCACCCGTCTGTGTAAAGCTCAGGGTGTGGGGATTTTCTGGGCAGGCGCTGGTGTGTGTTTTTGGATCCAGAGTTTGCAAAGTAAAATCAAAAGGGCGAAGCAGATGGACGCGGGCTGTGGGTCACGGCTGACATAAAACATCTCTCCATCCTGATATTCCTAATAAACCAGTGTCAAGTGAAGCTCATTACCAGAAAAGGTTCAGACTGTTCTGTTACACCTACTTAGACTTTACTGATACAAAATGTCACTGGTATTTAGAAAAAAGTACATAAATAAATAGTAGTCTAACATTTTAGAGGGAATTAACACTGTTGTAGTGTGTGTAATTTCTCGTCTGGAAAATGAATGCCAACACAAGAGCAACTGAGCCTTAAAGCGAGAAAACGATAATAATATTAATCCCAATAAAATCTGCTTGAGTGAACACGCATCTGAAAGGACGCCAAGAAAATGTATATATTTATATATTTAAAAAACTCAGGGATGCATATGTCTTTCTCAGTAGCTGCTGAGAACATGTTGTGTTCCAGGCCAACACTTTCCTGTCTTTGCCAGCTGTAATGGAAGAACTCGCCTGTGGCAACGTTTCAGCTCCTGTGAAACAATCCCCCGTCTGATGAAAGTAACACCAAGTTTAAAAGGGACAAATGACATTGCAGTGTTAAAAGAGGAGAATGACAACGCACACAGAGTTCTGGATAGAGCGGCGCTGTGCCGCAACAGCAAGGTATTCAGATCAGTCAGGAGGAAATATCCTGGTTCATTCATTTACTGTCTGGAGCCAGAGTTAGCAGAGCTGCATAACCTCTGTCCCAGTTAAAAACCTTGCTCCGAGCTAAAGTCATGAGCTGACTGCTCTGGTTAGTTTAAGGTTAATGTAAGCACATTTAGTATGAATTAAAGCTAGGCAGAGAAAAGCCAAGCATACAAAAGTCTTTTTGAGTCAAAAGGGGCTAAAACTAAACTGAGCTAAGTCCACTTACAGGATTTACTGTTTCACCCACAAGCCATTCGTCAAACCTGTTTAGAAAAAATGTAGAAGACCAGCCAGACCACTGAAGTTACCACTCACTAACCAAGGTAGCGTTTAGCTGCTAATGGAAATACGACTAATGCTGCACTTAAAGAGCAAGTCACCCCCAAATCAACTTTTTTTTTTGCTGATAAACTAAATAAACGAGTGTCTAATTGTACTGCAGACACGTGTCGGCAATAATTTGGCACTTCAGTGCATCTTAGTTAAAATTTAAATATTCTGCCTAAAACTGGCAGTGTTGCGCCGTCGTCAGGTAAAACCTCTGCACTGCATTTGAATTTAAATCTGCCACCGCTATTGGCTAAGAGGTATGCTATGATGTAAACTGGTACATTATGATGTCACAATGCCATTGTGAGCCTGTGTGTGTGTGTGTATTTGTTAGTGGCTCCGCCCTCTCGGTCTGCCAGGCAACAGCATGTGTTGCATTTTTCAAACATGAAGTGGGAGTGGAGTTAGACTCTGGTGGGGGGGTGACTTGCTCTTTAACTTTCCTTAGAATGTCATCAGACCTGATGTAACCTGAATGCAAGCAAGTCCACACTGCTGGATTTTTAAACCGTTGGAGGATTTTCAAAAGTTGAGACACCCCACACTTTGTGGTAAAAAGTCACAGAAACAGCAACTTTGGTCCACCCTTGGCCTTGTGGGAAAAACTACACAAATCCATTTCACACATGGACATACTCTGGTCAGACGGGAAATCTGGTGAGATCAAATGTGACTTCTGAGCAAACAAACATGGTGGAGAAAAAATGTGCGGTGCGCTTTGTTACCTCACTTTCTGATTGGATAAACGTCACATTCAACTGGCAGCATGATTGTTTGTTCTTGAAAATTGGGGAATAACAACACAACATGTCTGAAAGCATCAGTTTATCACACCACACGCTGCAGGAACATCTGATGTGATTATCTTTAGAGCCATTACACTAGTTGGAGGATATAGTGAAAAACCAGCATGTCGTGTGAACTGGAATTGAGAAAACCAGGATTTTCTCTTTTTGTGCTCAGTAACTGGGTTCACCATTGTTAACAAAACAAGCCGATAAAAGTGTGTTCATTGGGTATTTCTGCTTTGGTACCAACTGATAGGAATGCCGGATTTCAGTCATCCAGGGTGTGGGTTCCTAGTAGGTGCCCACAAGTGGAACATTTTCTTGAATTTTGAAGAGAGACACATCGAGGAAGCACCACTTTGTGAAATCATCACAATTCTAGAAAGAGTTTGCATAAAATTTAAATGATAACAGGTGAAAATGAAAATGTTTCCATATGGGACATCATTTAGTGCTGTGTTGATAAAATCGATTCTGAATCAATTCCCATAAAAATTCCAAGAATCAAACTGAATCGATTCAAATATCGATTGAAGAGTTCAATACAGTTTCCCCCGGTGAACTCTAACTCACCCAGTGCTATATCATTGAATTAGGGGAATATCATTAAGTAACAGCTCAAAAAAAAGTGTTTCAA